CGATGCTTAAGTGTGCCTCCCACAGGGCTTCTCCCATCGACCTTGCCCTTGAGGGCCAAACATGGCTTCTGGGAGCCCTTTTGAGAAGTGCTAGTTGAGCTGAAGACATGATACAAATAGCAGACCATCCTGAAATTTCAAAATGTCTGTGCCCAGAGCCAAACTCAGGGCATTTTGGGACTTGCCAAGCTCTGTGGAAATGCATTCTCTCTCCCAAGAACTCTCAGATCCCAGCAGAGACCAACATCTGTAGCAGAAACTAGGCCGAGGGTTTTCTGTGCTGTGTGTCTGGTCCTAGTTCAGGACTTGGTAACCACTGACCCCATGGCTGAGACCTTTGGGAGCTCCCCAGAGGCAGTGTGGCTGGGCAAGACAGGCCTGGGCTGAACCCAGAGCCCAGCACCTGCGTAAGGGCTCTCAGAATGACAAGTTCCTCATTTGTAAGAGGAGACGCAAGCCAAGGAGAGAAACTAACATATTAATAAGTGAGCTATGATTATTTTTAGGGTAAAAGTGACTTTTCTTGTTGGAATTATATATCATTGAAATACTTAGAAAGCTAAACATGAACAGAAAGAAGTGTAGATGTGTGTGTGTGTGTGTGTGTGTGTGTGTGTGTGTGTGTGTGTGTGTAGAGAGAGAGAGAGAGAGAGATTTTACCTCCCCACCACCCAAAGAACTGGGACCTACTGTTACAGACCTTCCCAAGTCTATATTGTATCTACAGATATACATATCTACAAGGGCTGACATTTTCTGGTATTGCGTTGTCTTGAGCTGTTACCTGTGCTTCTGTGACATCCTTTGTAATGACTGTAGACTATTCCTCAGCAAGCCTGGTTGCTTTCATCATTTGGAAGTGATTCTGCACAGCTCACAGGCAACATCACAGATGTTGGTTTCTAAGGGACTGGCTTTCTCCCCAGCGCAGCACTGTGGCCAGCACCTGTAGAAAGTCACAGGGCAGCCCCACCACTGGCTCCCGGTGAGGAGGTCTGTAGAGAAGCTACTGGCTGAGGACACTATGGAACCAGGCTCCGGTTCCACTGCAGGTATCTGAGACTCTTACATTTCCCCCAAACCCTTCTCTCAGTCCTGTTATAAAGTCGGATCCTGGTGGCACAAGGGTCTCGGCTCTATCAAGCTATCAGCAGCCACTGCAGCACCAATTGGATCAGGCCAAGGAACTAACTCTCCCTGGCTGGGCC